GTGTGTGTGGCTGGTGCCTTTTGGGGGTAAGAAGGAGGAGAAAGAAGGGGAAATAGAGAAATAAAGGAAAAAAAAAGAAGAGTGGAATAAAGAAAAATAAGGAAAAAAGCGAAGAAGGGAAAGGGAAAAAGAAAGAAAGAGAAGAATATGGAATAAGAAAAAAAGTGAAGAAGAAACGGACGAAAGTGGAAAATAGAAAAAAAAGAAAAGAATAAGGAAAAATCGGAAAAGAAACAAAAAAGAAGAAAAATTAGAAAAAAGAAACAGACGTAAATGGAAAAATTAAGAAATTGAGTAAAATTGAAAGTGAGAAATGAAAAGAAATAAATAAATACAGAAAAGGGAAAAATTAAGAGGTGAAAAGAAGGGAAAATTTATTGAAAGACGAAGCAGAAAAACTGAAAATAGAAATAATAATAATCGTAATAATAAAGCGAGAGGAATGTATAAAAAGATATTGTAATATGTGAAGAAAAAATGTCTGTATCTTTTTATGTAAAAGGAAAGAAAAAAAATCCAAAATAGAATCACTTAACATCACAAATTTATTATTTTTGCCTATCGCATTAATCAGATAATGATATGGATTCTCCCTGAAATATAAAAAATTATGTATTGATTGGGTGTGGTGACATTTTATTACAAAATACCACAGCAGGTATGTAAATGACACGTCAATGTGAAATGTGTGACAATGAAAATTATTCCTTTTATATGTATAGTGATTTAGTTATATCATATTTCTGCTGATACTGGTGTAAGATGCGTGATATAACCAAATTTCTCTAAGATTTTTTATATTATTATGACACATACACATGAAAAAACACATACACACACAAATAAACACATATATTATATATATATATATATATATATATATATATATATATATGTATATATATATATACATACAAATATATATACAAATAGATATATATGTTTGTCTATCTCTCTTTATATATATTCATGTATCAATCTATCTTTATACATATACATACATATATATATATATATATATATATATATATATATATATATATATATTATAGATAGATAGAGAGATAGAGAGATAGAGAAGAGAAGTACACACACACACACACACACACACACACACACACACACACACACCACACACACACACACACACACACACACACACACACACACACACACACACACACACACACACACACACACACACACACACACACACACACACACACACACCATTCTACCACCCCGACCCACCTTGGCCAAATACCTGTTATTAATCACTGAGCAAACAATGTTGCCACAGCAGACTCGCCACCCTGCTAATAGATCAATGAAGGGCTCTCAATTCGCAAGAACAATGACCCGGACTTGGCAACAATGCGAGGCTTTATCCAGGCTATGAGGATTGTGTTGTTGTTGGGATTTTTTCTTTGTTGTTGTTGGTAATATTGTTTTTTATTATTATTATTATTGGCAGTATTGTTTTGTTATTATTATGACAATTGATAATAATGATAGTTATTATTATTGATGATGACGATAACAATAACAATATTGTTTTATTATGATTTTCTTTTGTATCATTACAGTTGCTATTATTTTTTTATGTTATCATCATTGCTATCATTATCATCATCATTATTATTATTATTACTATTGTCATTCTTATTCTTATTCTTATTCTTATTCTTATTCTTATTATTATTATTATTATTATTATTATTATTATTATCATTATTATTATCATTATCATTGTTGCTGTCGTTAGCACCGATATTAATTACTGGAATACCCTAACTAACACTGATATCGTGATAATAGCATCAAAAGTAGCAAAACTAGCAGTCGCAGTAGCGGTAATAGTTGCAGTAGTAGTAGTTATAGCAGCAACAGTTGAAGTAGCAGTTGTAGCAGTAGTCGTAGTAGTCTTTTTAGTGTTAGTAGTAGTTGTATTAGTTTTAGAAGTCGCAGTAGTAGTAGTTTTAGTAGTGGTAGTAGTAGTAGTAGTGGTAGTTTCAGAAGCGGTAGTGGTACTTTTAGAAGTGGTAGTGGCAGTAGGGGTAGTTTTAGTAGTCGTAGTAGTAGTAGTAGTAATAGTAGCAGTGTTAGTGGTATTAGTAGTATTAGCAATAGTAGTATTCAACCCACACTTATTAATAAAACAGAGAGAAGAGCGTGAGATACAAACGGAGAACATATTAAATTAATCAAATGATTATAAGCAACAGTAAAATAAGATACATTGAATAGACACTAAACCTGAGAGAACAGCTGTATCTCGCCTTCTTTCCCATATCTCTCTTTCCACACATCTAAAAACTAGGTATATAATTTTCAAAAAAGCTAAAATGTCACTTTAGATAATTGATATTGTAATTGGCATGTTGCCAGGAGGGTACGTACCGCCAGAACTCAGTGTACCATAAGCTGACCTACTCACCGTGAATTGAATTAGGAAAAGGAAAAGGCAAGAAAGAGAGGGGGAAGGGGGAAGGGGGAAGGGAGATAGGGAGGTAGGGAGGAGGAGAGAGAGAGAGAGAGAGAGAGAGAGAGAGAGAGAGAGAGAGAGAGAGAGAGAGAGAGAGAGAGAGAGAGAGAGAGAGAGAGAGAGAGAGATGCGAAATAATGACATTCCTCGAATTTTTAAAGTTAGATTAGAACTTGCGTCGCTACACCGTGGTTGGGCATAATATCAAGAACTTAAATGCAATGAACTTGCTTTATGCATTAATGCCGGTTCTTGTTGACATTGGAGATAGTGACTAAAATAGACACAGTGATCAAAATGGGTGAAATAACGTGACCTTCCCTAATTCGTGCTGGAACTTACAACGGGATGAGGTGCATTTCATTAGTATGAGGCGTGGTGTGAATTTATGAAGTCGGTTGTTTTTCAGTGCTTTAGATGGGCGTTGTTATTTTTTTGAGGTAAGGATGACTGCAGTTTTTTTTAGGGGGGGAGGGGGTGTTTATAGTGATCTGATATGATGTCGTAAATGGTGTTGTTGATTGTTTACGATTTTAGATATGAAATATAGTGTTTGATGCAGCACTGATTGCTTCCGGTTTTAGATATAACGATCTGTTATAATTTCACATAAAGTATTGTTGTTTATTGACGATTTTAGATATAGAGGTGAAATATAATGTTAGATGCTGCACCGATTGCTTCCAAATTTAGATATAGTGATCTGATATACATGTATTGATCATAACTATTGATTTAAGATATAACAGCTATAGTGCTAAATTAGGATATAGCTATTAGATATAGATACAAAGTTGGTCGTCAGTATAGTCTTGATTTTGAACCCCTGCAGTTGAACACTTTTACGAAAGGTAATACTCAAGATCTCTGGGGTACTTGTTTCATGTTTATATATCATTCTCATATTATTTTTCATTCTTATTTACTCTTAATCCGGGATTTACTCATGTGACATTTAAAAAGCGAACACATAAAAAGTTAGTCCGAATTGTTCAAGTGCTTCTCTTGAAAGGAATATTTGAAGAACACTATTTTTAGTTTAATTGAAGGCAATCAGTTCAAAGAAAGGCTCTATTTTTTTGCTATTTACCTTCTTGGAAGTATATTTTCAGACGATACAGCCACTTCTTCGAACATCAACTTTAATAAAAACACAGATGTCCATCATTTTTATTTTTATTTTCATTTACTTCTTTTATTTATTTTTTTCAGTATCTATCATCATTTTATATACTAATATTGACGATAATGGTTTCCATTCTTAGGATTAATACCTCATTATTCCCGTTATTAGTCCTGCCATTAAAGAAAGTAATTGCTGTTAAAGCGATTCTATTAATTATCATTATTATTATTATTATTATCATTATTTCTATCATTATCATTATCATTATTGTTATCATTATCATCATTATAATTATTATCATCATCATTCTCGTATCGCCTGTGGTTGCAAACGCGTAGAGGAGGAAGAGGGAGAGGGATGGAGGAGGAAAAGATAGAGGGGAAAGGGAATAGAAAAGGAATTGAAGAGAGAAAAGGGGGTAGAATGATGAGGAATGGAAGGGGGGAAGGAAAGGGGAATAGAAAAGAGGGAGAAGAGAAGAAGGGGGAATATTGAAGAGGAAAAGGATGGGAGAAGGAAAGGAAGAACAGAAGAGAGGAGAGAAGGAGGAGGAAAAAATGATAGGAGATAGATGGGTAGAAGGAAAGGGCGAATAGAAAGAAGGGAATAGAGAAGGAAGAAAAAATGATAGGAGATAGATGGAGAGAAAGAGGAAATTAAAAGGAGACAGACTGATAAAGTATGGAAGGGGAGAAGGAAAGGAGAAGAAGAATGAAGGGCGGAGAGAAAAAGAGGGAAGAGTGACTTGTATAGGGGATGAAAGGAATAGAAAGAGAGGAGGATAAGAAGGAAGAGAGCAGAGAATAAGTGAAAAAAGGGATAAGAATAAAGAATAAAGTGAGGGGAGACGAGGGAGACGTTAAGAATAAAAGGGAAAGGATAGAAAGCGAGAGAACACGAAATGAAAGATAATAAAATAAGTAATTAAAGAAAAACAAAAACAAAAAAAGAGAAGCGTAAGCCAAAGGGAAGGAAGAGACAAATCGAAATAAAGAAAATAAGAAAAAAACTAAAAGAGAGGAATAACCGAAAGGGAGAAGAACAGAGACAGCGAAATAACGAGAGAGTAGCGCAGGGGGCGAGGAAAAAGGGAGGAGAGTGTACAGTGTGTCGACAGAGGGAGGTTTCACATTGTAAACAAATAACTTTCCGCGTGACGTCAGTAATTCCACGCTGAAGAATGACTGACACGCCGCCAGCCGAGGGAGGGAGAGAGAGAGAGAAGGAAGGAGGGAAGGAGGGAGGAGGGAGGAGGGGGGGAGGGAGGGAGGGAGAAGGGAGGGATGGAGAGAGCGAAAAGAGAGAGAGAGTGAGGGAGGGAGGGGTGAGAGAGGAGAGGGAGAGGAGGAGGAGAGAGGAAAAGAGAGAGAGAGAGAGAGAGGGGAGAGG